GTTTTTTCAAGCAGCCCTTCACAAGGTCTTTCATTCTGTCAACTAATACATGCTACAAACAACCCAATCATCAGGTCAATATAAAGTTTTCGTAACTTTCTAGAGGCTTAGAAATAAGGAAAAACAGAGCCAGCAAAGACACTTAGCCTCCTCCATGATCTAAATAAGCCTTGCAAAAAATCAATCAAAAATTATTCCTTTGCGGTCTGCTTTGACTGCAGAGCCTTCCTTCACATTGGCCACCATGGCCAAATATCAGTAGTGATCAACTATTGGGAGAATGGGAGTGGAAGACAGCTTGGAGAGCTACAGTCCTCTTACGCAGAAGTGCATTTGCACTTCGCTAAGGAGCAGATACAACCTGCACAAGATGAGTCTGGCCTTGCTGATACACCAAAGCAGGCCCAATTCCTTGCTCAACACTGTAGGGATTAGGGTGGCTGATAGACTGAAGGCTGTATTCACTGCCTTAGGTTTTCTCAGTATGCATCCTGGGAACTGAGTTTAATGAAAAATATTTAAAAGCTGCACAAATGCCATAATAATGCATGCTATTGCAAATAAGCGTAAGTATGAACAGAGATGACCGAAACAACTCCATGCATGTTTGTGTAAATGTTAAAAAAAATGAGCAAATGATCTCAGCAGAAATGGCTGTCTCAACTCCTTGCACAAACACATTTGCAGAAACAAATTGTAATTCCCCATTCTGTGTTGAGGTGTCGTGGTGTAACCCCAGCCAGCAACTAAGCACCACGCAGCCGCTCACTCACTCTCCCCCATCCAGTGGGATGGGGGAGAAAAATCGGGAAAAAGAAGTAAAACTCGTGGGTTGAGATAAGAACGGTTTAATAGAACAGAAAAGAAGAAACTAATAATGATAATGATAACACTAATAAAATGACAACAGTAGTAATAAAAGGACTGGAATGTACAAATGATGCGCAGGGCAATTGCTCACCACCCGCCGACCGACACCCAGCCAGTCCCCGAGTGGCGATTCCCTGCCCCCCCACTTCCCAGTTCCTAAACTAGATGGGATGTCACATGGTATGGAATACACTGTTGGCCAGTTTGGGTCAGGTGCCCTGGCTCTGCCCTGTGCCAACTTCTTGTGCCCTGGCTGGGCATGAGGAGCTGAAAAATCCTTGACTATAGTCTAAACACTACTGAACTACTGAGCAACAACTGAAAACATCAGTGTTATCAACATTCTTCACATACTGAACTCAAAACATAGCACCGTACCAGCTACTAGGAAGACAGTTAACTCTATCCCAGCTGAAACCAGGACATGAGGCAATGGTCACCAGTGACCAGAGCAATGAACTGGCTTTTCTACCTGGTTCTGTCACTGTCCTGTCTAGCCAAACTTGTTCTTCTGAACAACCTTGGACAAGCTACTTTAGCTCAGGTTGCCCTTTCCATAAAATGAAATTAATCTTTATATCACACACTTCAAAACCAAGGACACTAAGCTTTGCACTGTGTTGGGAACACCAGGCTTTAAAAAGCAGCACTAAGACACTCTGTAGGTACTGTCAGGCTCTCAGATCCTCTTAGAACCATTCCTGAATGGAGGGAATACTTCATGTACAGACATATACGCACACAGAGACAGTTTTTTATATATACACATACGTATAGCCCAGACTGTTAGGGTGAGATTAATTCATTAAACCTGTTTCCAGGATACAGCATACTTCACTGATACCAGCTACCAGCCTGACAGGCAGAGCCACACTTCTGTCTATTTTTTGCTCCTCCCTGGCCACTCTCCACATTCCCTGGGAGAGCATCTGGCCCAGGACGCCTGTGCTCCCTTCAGATCTAGGGCTGCATTTGTGGCTGACCTTTTCACAGCTGCCAAACAGGGAGGAATCCTTACTCCTTCCTACCCCTCTGCACAACTTCTTGAGGCTAGTCTTGAATAGCTCTAAATCATTTGATTTTAAGAGTTGGTCTCAAACCTGCTGAGTCAGGAGAATTCTTTCCTCATAATACTCAGACACCTGTCAGAGGCAATTCCTTCCACAGCCATCGTGGTCTCTGCTGGCAAACTTGCTGGTGCCACTGATTCCAGCAATAAATGAGTAACCTTACCATTCCCTGGAGCTGCTGCGAGTCTGGATAAAAAAAAAAAATCAGAAATATTTCTGGAGGAGTACCCTCTTCATTCCTGTCAACAGACACCCAGGGTAACTTAAATATTAGATGCCACCAAGCAGAGAGCTTCCTGCTCCCAGGCAGCACCCATCTGCCATCCAGACTGAGTATTTTTATGTTGACTAGGGCTTGTCAGAGAGGTGACAACATGGGATTAGCTAGGAATGAAAGCTGCTATCATAGCTAAAGGACAGCTTAAAAACAAAACAAGGCCTCCTGACGCAAGAGACTCAAAGTGCCACAGGTCTTAGCCAGAAAAGAACAGAGTCAAATCAGAGCTCCTGCATATTCCAACTCACAGAATTTCCTGTATCCAACTGAATTTCTGGACAAGTTCACACTAAACATATGAAAAATAAATCACTGATTCCAGATGGACTCCTAGGAGCCTTTTTTCAGTGACTTCTCAGAAAATAAGATTATTTATAGATCCTTTTTTAAGATCATGTACATAGTCTGTCAGATCATTTTATTTCAGTTCCCTGATCTCTTGCTCTCCAAGAGCTCTGCCTTGAAGGACCTGTACTAGGTATCAGCAAAGCTAAGTTTGTTTATCTTCTGGTTGTTGCTTATAACCACCCACCTCCATATTCCATGTGCACTTTACAGCCTGGTGTCAGGGAACAAATAGCAAGCTGAAAGAAATGAGCAAGTATCACACAAAGTGATGCTGACTTCTCCCTTGTAGGCTGCAAATGCTTGGGGATCCATGGGGTATTTATCATGGGTTCACAGAAGTTTATGGGCTTAAAAGCTTTCCATACATGTTTAAATTAGGCTTAAAAACACTTCACAGAGGCCCACAGCTTCAATGGAAAATTTGTATGGACTTGTAAACAGAAAAATACAAAATCACTGGCTGAAAAGTAACTAGGTTACTTTTTGTGCATTAAAAACAACACCTGGCCCACTCCCGAATCTGATTTACTACACAGACATTGAAATGCTTGTGCTGGCACAGGAGAGATGGAGGAAGGGGCCGGGAGCTGGAGACAAGTGCAGAAGAATAAGTACCCCTTTAGGTGGAAATGCTGTTTTTAAAGTGTTTGTAAACTGGTTCCTCTGAGTAAGCTTCCACGACTCCCTGGAGGAGAGCAAAGCGTGGGACCAATGGAGCCTCCCATGTCCAGAGACACTCCTGCTCTGCTTCCCACTCCCTGCCAGCACAGCCACACGTTCTGGTCAGGCAGTCACGCATCTCCACTGCCTCAGGGAACTGGCCTTGCCAAAAATCTATGCAGTATAACATAAAAATCATTTTCAGAGAGATCAGGCTGTTCAAGGACATCTGGCACAAAGGAAGTAGTAAAATATTACAGCTGAGGTGCTGGACAAGGCTGGACCATCTTTTCCTGAAGCAACTGGCATTGTCAACAGTGGGAGGGCTGCCTGAGGGCACCAGCAAGAAAGCCACTCTCTTTAGGTGACTTACTGATTATGTTGAGCTACATGGAGAAGAGCACTCGCCTTGCAACCAGTCTCTTCTTTACTCTTTTTGTATGCAGAGAATTGAGTATTTAGGATTAGCAGTGCCTGCCACAGGCATGCAGTCACTTAGGAATGGTGCTGAAAGACAATGCCCTTCCCAGCAGTTCCCTGCCACCTTGTTCTCCTCTGACACAGGCAGGGTAAAGGGATCAAGTAAGCATCCCTGAACCTAATCCATAGATTTTTTTATTTATTTTTTTTTTTTAATGACTACAGTTCCAGGCAGGCAGAAATTCATGTAACATAGTTCACATGCTTAAATCTGTGTTATTTTGTGTGAAGAAATTTTGATAAGTTCATAAGCGCAGCCCATATCAGGTCCCCTGATTATGTTTTGAAATGCCTATCCTTTCTGGGAAAGAGCTACCACAAACCATTTGGAAGAAGCTGAAAAATACTGCTGCATAACCATGACATCCTGGGTAACATCAGAACTGTGTCACTAAAAGAAATTCCTTGTGTCTGCAAAGTGCCAGACTGGTGCAGGCAAAAGAAGGCCAAGACAACCCCCGGATACCTCCAGTGTGGTCACCAGACTGCAGGCAAGCAGGCTGGCAGCAGGTGCTGGCCAGCTTCCCTCCTCGCACTTCAGCAGACACCTTCCCTGGATGCTCTGGAAGCTCCCTGAAGGCTGGGCAAAGCAGGCAGTATGGGAACCTAGCTGTGAAAGCACTGCAGGAAAGTGCAGGCACTGCCACCTTATAGAGCTATGCTGACTCACCCCAGTCCCAAACTGGAGAAAGAAATAAGCGAGGAAATGGAGCAGAACAGAAAAAATCCCTTTGATTCCAGCCTATATATGCCTCACCATATGCTCTCCCGTGGACTGTATGCCCAGTTCAAACTAGAAAGATGAGAATAAGGTCTCAACTCTTTCTTACAGACACCAATGGTTAGTGAAGTGAATTTCGCATGAACAGAAAATTTCAGCACAGCTTTCTAAAAGACACATGTGGCAACATTTCTCAGAGAAGGAAAAAAGACTGAGGCAAATTACAAGCAGCACGTCCCTGCCTGCCAAATCTCCTGCGAGTTCTTTCTTTAGCAAAGTCATCGGAAAATGCTTAAGTAGTATTGAAGGAAAGGGACTACGATGAATACCATTTCCCAGTGGAGTCATGAGATCTAATATAAACAAGCTGAGGGCCGCAAGGCAAGGAAACATCTTATTTCCAAGCTCTAACGCTAGATGGAGTAAAACTGAATAAAAGATTAAGAGCAGTGAAGAAAAGAGAAAGGCAGAAAAGTTCCTGCATTTCCAACTCCTAACATGTTGCTTCTTTGCATTCTCATCTTTGATTACTGCTCTGAAAGTCACAATTAATGTCACTCTCTATACTTTGCAGGTCGAACATGGGATCGAGCCAAAACAGGTACGTTCTGGGGGAAGGGGGAGTCTGGTGGAGCAGGGAGGTGAAGTGACAGTGCTAGGCAGACACACAGAAGTTGTAAAGGCACATCCACCTAGGTAAAGGGAAAGGTCGCACAGCAATAAAGGCTGTGGGATTACCCTGAGTTCCTACTGACAGCCCAGATCTGCCAGACATTCTGCATCACCTAAGGTAAGTAATTTAACTGCCTTGTCCTCCAGCTTCCCAGTTGTATACCTGGAATACCCTAACACAAGGCCCAGGCATACTGCAAGGCTCTCTGCCCTATGCAGCTGCAACGCAGCTGCCTCCACATTAGCAGGTACTCCAGGTAGTAAGCTCTTGGAAAGATGCAGCCACAATATGGATCCAGGAGCTGCTCGGCTGCTCCCCACTCATGTGGCAGTGCAATACTGGGAAGCGGCCCAAATGACAATAATCCAGAGTCTGCAATATACGGAGCAGTTCTTATAGTAGGATGCTGCCCTAAAATGCATTACGTGCTGCTAGTGGATTGCTACCTGGCAGTGAAGCAGACATCTGGGAGTCACCACAACAGCCAGACTCATACCTTTGTCCTGTTAATTCACTTAGGAAAAACAGATACCTCCAAAAATACAAAGAAATATCTAGGAAAAGAAAAGTTAAGTGGGAGGAACTTCATGAATGTAATTCCAGCAGCTCCATTAATAATTTTCTAGAATTCCTGTAATCTTTATCTGGGTATCTCCCAGCTCAGCTTTTACAATGATGCTGTGGATCATCCCCAGTAAAAGCAAAGCTAGAAAGTTATTGTTAACTGTGATCTTTCTTTCTTTTCAGAGATGACATCAATGTACTAGGAAAACAAAGTACAAATGATCAATAATCCTTTTGGAATCAACAGTTACCTGATCTGAGGATCAATAGAAGTCTCTTGTGCACAGGCAGGAATCTCACCAATACCAATTCCTTTCTTTGTTCTTTAATTGAAAGACTGATTGATTGATTACAGGAAGAGCTTATAGTGCATGCTAACTTCAATCACCTGCACACAAAAAGCCTGCAATCCCCAACAGCATGTATATGAAGGAAATGTATAGGTAAAATAAAATAGATGAGCTCTGCTCATTAATAGATCCTGTTTAGTCTGTGATAAGCATAGAATTGATTTCTAAAATCAATTAAATACAGGGTAATCAAAAAGGTAGAAACACATTTCAGCAGCAGAATTTATGGTCATGCCCGTATTTCAAGTTAGGTAAATAATGACGGAAGTAACTTTAAAAATCATTAATTTGAGTCTGAAATAAAACAAGGTTTCTCAGGTTCTTTGGGAAATACATGTTTTGTGTTAATATGACAACATTTCATTCACACTGAAGTTACATTTTTTTTTAGCTTTAGAACTGATGTCTTTTGTTTAACTGTTCATGGCAATGCTAATTTCAGCTATTTAAAATGAATTATGGTCATTTAAAATGAAAAACTCCTTTTTTAAATAATGTTTTTCATGTTTCGTTTTTAGAACATTGAAATGAAAACAGTTTTGTATACTAAAAAAACCCAACATTTCTGGACATCTGAAAGAAAACATTTCATGTCAACTTTCTACAAACAAGCTAATCTGACATTTCCAAAATTCACCCATCCCTATTTTTTTATTATAAAACAATGCACTAAGTTCAATCAGAAATTGTGAATAATTTCAGTCTCCCAGCCCCTTCAATCTTGTTCTAGCCTTATATATTCTGTTGAATTTGATTTCATCAAAATTGCTTTGCCTGGCTCCAGTTACAAACTTCTTACAGTGGAAGTAACAACAAGAAAAAATAGAGCTTTGTCTCAGAACTTTTAGAATAGTTTAAATAATTTAAAATTGTTTAAACCAAAGTTATTTTGTAAACACATCCCAGCTTTTACCAAAGCTGTGAGCCCATTGCTTTGGTCTTAGTTGAGAAAATAATGCTATGGATTCTATTCTGTTTGTTTAAATCCACTTCTTTCAAGAATGTTTTATTATAACAGTTATTGTCATCCCAAGGTGCAAAAAAAGCAGAAAGATTTTTGTATTTCAAGCCCGGCTTTCCTTTCAGCTTGTGAAGACAGGGCAGCAAATGTCAGCTGTGGGAGCTCTGGGCACACTGGTCTAGCAGCAATGCCATGCTGGGCATCCTCTGCTGTTCCTACAGCTCCTCTCAGGAAACCCAGCAGGACTCAAAGGCTTGAGAGCCTCAGGTAGATGGCATGCACAACATTACGTAATATCACAGTATTTCACCAGCATAGCTGTTATGTCATTGCATTACAGGATGGCTCCAAGCAAGATGTTACACTATTTTATTGCCATTTACAAATAACCACTAGCCAGATCCAAAGACCACAAACTAAATAGATTGGATCTGCCTAAACTTTTAGATCAGGCCAGTGTCTATAGACATACGGATTTTTTAATCTCTCACCTAACATGCATTCTTAAAGTTAACTTTTAAGCCAGTGTCTGCTCTTAGTTATGCCATGTGGCAGATCATAATAAATGAAGTTCTTTCCAGTTCTTCACTACTGTAATATAGCAGAAATTATTCAACTTAAAAAAAAAAAAGACAAACGTTAGACTGAAGTCCAACCTAGAATTGTGTAGTATTAAGAAATATCACTCCAAAAAAATCACAGAAGCCAGGGCCTTCCATCCAATAATCAACTTTCAGACTGTGAAGAGCAGCAATTAACCCCACACATTAAAGGCAAAGCTGATGTGCTGAGTCAGGGACTTAGGGTCAACACACTGTCAGAGCATAAGAGCCGATATATCAGAATTTTGTTTCTATGAAGAATAAGCTACTGTACTACTTGTAACTGTAACTGAAAGGATTTGAATTTGTGAATATTATCTCAGCAAAGCGGATCATTTTCCAAATGTGCAAAGGAAACCGAATGGTAATTTTTTCACACATTTTGAACAGCAAAATGTAAGGTTCATTTTCAGAGAAAATTGATATATTGGAATAATTTCCCTGGATTCCTAGGTGTCTGTTACCCAGTTCAGTAACACTGCAGTTCATTAGCCGCATTTGCTAAGAGATAAACTAAAGCAGTAATGTGATACTTGTAAGTAATTATGTGTATGTACATGTGTAAGTGAATAAACCACCTTGTAAGGTATCTGTTAATTGATTTGCTTCCTTTAGTACCGTTTTAATTAAGACTTGGAACAGAAGAGAGCACGTGGTCAGGGAGGGAAGCTATTACCTTCCCTTATTTGTGTGAACAAATGTTTCCTTCACATCATTTCAGTACACTATGGGAAATAAAGATGAAAATAAACAAAAAATGGTAAGTTACAAGCAGTAGAGGAGAAAGGCCTGGAGAATTAAAGTTAGTAATCTTGATCAGGCAAATGCACTGGGCTGCAGAATAGATTCTGAATTTCCAAAACCTTTTGGTGTGCCTTGGCTCCCTGGGTATGGGAAAAATATGGGCAGCGCTGAGGCAGCCAGCTGGGGACCAGGGGCTCCCAGGGTTGCTGCTTCTGCTGCCGCTGAGAGGTTTGGGCACACTTAGTAACTGCCACCGCTGCATGGGGCTGCTGTGGCAGCAGCAACCGGCGCCCCATCAAGCCTAACTCTCCCCCCTGTCGTGGTTTCGGCCCAGCCGGTACCAAAGGACCACGCGGCCGCTCGCTCACTCCTCCCGCCCCCCTCCGGTGGGATAGGGGGGAGACGGAGGAGAGAAAAGAAAAAAACTGGAACCTCGAGGGTTGAGGTAAAGGCAGTTTACTGGGACAACACAAAGCAATTACAACAACAACGACGGTACTAGTGAACGAGTATACAAAAAGAGCGATGCACAGTGCAACTGCTCACCACCCGGAGCCCGACGCTCCGACGCTTCCCCCCACCGAAAGTCGAGCCCACCCCCCGGCCCGCTCCCCATTTATATACTGAGCATGATGGCACATGGTATGGAATAGCTCCTTGGCCAGTTCAGGTCAGCTGCCCCGGCTATGCGCCCCACCTCCCAGGTTCCTCTAAAAATTAACTCGATCCCAGCTGAACCCGGGACACCACCCCACAACTGTAGCAGCCAGCGTGGCTCTCCACAGGCAAATCAGGCTGCCACAACTGTTTTGCTACCCCAAGTGTTGTCCCACAAATGGGGTTCATTTAGCCAGTGTGCAAGCCAATACCAGAGTCAAGGTATTTTCAAATTAAGTTCATTGATGTGCATGAATGGGTGCCTCTCTCAAGACAGCACACCTTTGTCTTAAAAATTCTCACATTTATACACTTAATTAATACATATTCATTGTTATTTTCCTTAATGATTGGTTCTTTCTTCTTCGCCCCCATGTAAATTAGTGCGCAGACTCTGTCTTCTTCCTTCATTGTCCTCTTTTGAGTAGGTGGTATCATTTGAGTAGGTGGTGAATGAGTCAGTGGTTGCAATCTCCCCCTGTAGGAATTACCTTTGACCTACTTCTTTCCTAATCTTGGCAGTTCCAAGTGGTTCTTCAAGGTTTATTGGCTAGACCACAATCCATTACCTTTTCTGGCATAAACATAAAGCCCAATTGTCTAGTAGTTAGCTCCTAAACCCTAAATCATGTCTAGTTATTGTTTCCCTATTTCAAATATTAACCGATGTGGGTTGTACCAGGAGTTTAGCAACTCCCTGTTTATTTTAATCATATTCTCCATATTAACTGATAACACAAGGAACTGCTGGGTTTGCCCATTCCTACAACCAGCTATACCAGCACTGCTTGCAGCATCAGGAGCTCCTGAATTTGGGCCAAGCTGCACCACACTGTTTGGAAATAATCAGTGAAGGAAAACTAGATGAAAGGGGAACATTTTGGAGGCATTCAGTCGAAAGACAAAAGACACTGTTAGCTCCACTAATTCTCGATTGAGGATGCAGCCCAGGCAGCCCACAACCAGCACAACAGGCATCTGTGCTCACCTATTTGCCTGTCCAGCACAGGTTACACCTGCCCATGCTGAGCACTTCAAGCTCTCCATTAGATCACTGGCATTCTCCCGAATGGATAACAGTGGGAAGGACTTCAGAGTCGGGATTTGGACACATGCCCCAATTATGTCATGCTAGACCTGCAGTCTCCTCACAGCAGATGCACAGCAACATAATGATGCTTGTGAATAGAGTTATTCAGAAGAGGAGGCAGTTGTAGACACAAGAAGTGAGCTAAGAGGTGCGTACACAGCATGCTTTTCTAAAGAGAGACCGATGCAGTATTGGCTTTAGTTACAATGCATGTGCCACAGCAACAGTGGGATCATTGAGGTCAAATCCTGCTGTCAGCTGCACCAGTGCAAATTGGGACTAACTGGAGGAGTCACATAGCTTGGTGCAGCACTCACTCATACGGTAATACATCAGGCAAAAATCTCCTGGACTCGGTAGAACTGCATGGATAGAAAAGCAGTGCCTGGGGGAGGAGTCCTGTATATCAGACCTCACTGATACAAATCTGCTCTCGGCGGTGTGCAGAAGAGTCTGATTCAGTTCCTCCCAAGCAGAAAGGATGGCAGATTTCATAATAGTCAAAACAGTTGCAACCTGAACCTTTCTTGGCCTCTCTCATACTTGTAAGTGAAAAATCAGATCATTTTAGTCAGGAGTATTTTTTTTCTGTTTCTTGTAACTACACTTAATCAAATACAAAATACAAAGACTGTTAAAAATGCTTTGACTCAGCAACCAAAAATGGGAAAAACACAAGCAAAGGAAAGCACCCACCTAGCAAACCTGATAAAGAAAGGATGTTTATACTCACCTACAAAGAGAAATATAAATGGAGTGTGAATTAAAGAAAGAACAGAGAAGTATGACACTATATGATGGTATAGACCAGGTCTGAAATACAGAGTGCCTGTAATTGCAGAAGAAACAAATGGGACCTATGGAGGCTTCAGACTTCTGAAAATCATGCTAGTTACACACGGGTAATATTAGAATAGCCAGCCTAGGTCTGACTAAAGTCTATCTTCTCCAATAGCCTCTTTGCCACAGTGGCTAATAGCAAACATCTAGACTAAATGTAAGAACATTGCAATTATGTGCCAGTGCTTTCCTAGAAGACCGTACCGCCCTACAGCAAACTTCTGCTTAGCGTCACTAAGCCAAAAGTTGTCCTGTTCATGTACTTTCCTTCCACAGTCAGAAGTAGTTGATTCCATAGATACTATATATTTATACATAAAAAAATCACAAAGGCCTTTGCCCTCCCTGTCACTATATCAGTGAATTTGCATGGTTGCTACTAACACAGCATGAAAGCAATTCACGTACTCCTAAGAAGGCACATCCACTCTTTACAGAGAC